GCTCCTGCTCCTGCTCCTCCTCCTTCTCCTCCTCCTCCCCCTCCTCCTCCTCATCATCCTCCTCCGTCTCCTCGTTTCCTCGTTTCCGCAGGGCGTAGGAAGAATGGCAGGAGCACAAGGTGCAAAAAATTGCTGTCGACTCTCGAGAATCGCGGGGGGGAGGTTCTCGAGAGTTTCTGGCCCTTTTGTCGGGCCAGGCCCAGGCCTCCGGGGACCTCCAGGGACCATGATCCGGGGCAGAAGCAAGACTTGCCAGTGGAGACAAGACCAGACAAGACAAGACAAGACACTACAAGACAAGACAAGGCAAGGCAAGACAAGACAAGACATGACAGCGCAATGGAGCACAAGGTCAGGATCGGTGTGAAATCGACGAGCTCTGCGCGCTGCTGATGCAGCTTGACTTCGATAGCAAACAGAGGAAGAAGATCAAGACGAATGCCCACCGCTAATACATATTAGATAATGCCGCGCGGCCTCGCCTGCAGGGCGATGCTGGCCACATTGGCCTTCGCGGCGTTCCTGCCCGTTCACCGGCTGTGGGAGAATCTGCGCTTGCCCTCCCCCAACCACATCCTTCTCCCCTCTCTCCCCCTCCCCATCCCATCCTTCTCTTCCACCACCCCCTCCTCCTCCTCCTCATCCTCCTCGCTCCCCTTCTCCTCCTCGTCCTCCTCCTCTTCGTGGCCGCTTCTGCCGATGCCGCAGCCGATGCTGCCACCAGGCGCTGCCGTCAGATGAGGAGGGGCAGCAAGAAGCTGGGGCAGGCCGGGGAGGAGCACGAATCAGGAGCAGGGGGAGGAGGAGGCGGCACTTCTCGATGTGCGTGCACGCCGCCCTTGCGTTGAATGTCATGCGAACATTCCCTGCATTTTTCCGGGTGGGGAGCTGGCTGGGGAAAGGGGGGAGGCGGAGGAGGAAGATGAGGACAATGACCAAGACGAGGGGCAGGAGGAGGAGGAGAAGCGGCAGCGGCAGGAGAAGCGGGACGGTGAGGAGGACGAGGAGGGAGGATGGCAGGGGAAGGGTGGTAACCGCCGGCGGTGGTCCTGAAGGCGACGCGCACCCGAGAAAAAACGCATTGGAACGATAGCGGCGCCCCCAGACAGCCGTTATCGAAGACGTCATCCCACCGCGGCCTCGTGAGGCACAGTGGTGAGCGGAGGGGCCGCCACGGCTCGTGCAAGATGCACCTTCATGAGGTGTGTCCAAGCGTCGTCGTCGCCGTCGTCGTCGCCGTCGTCGCCGTCGTCGTCGACGTCGTCGTCGCCGCCGCCGCCACCGCCGTCGTCGTCGTCGTCGTCGTCGTCGCCGCCGCCGCCGCCGCCGCCGCCGCCGCCGCCGCCGCCGCCGCCGCCGCCGCCGCCGCCGTCGTCGTCGTCGTCGTCGTCGTCGTCGTCGTCGTCGTCGTCGTCACCGCCGCCGCCCGCCGTCGTCGTCGTCGTCGTCGTCGTCGTCGTCGTCGTCGTCGTCGTCGTCGTCGTCGTCGTCACCGTCGTCACCGTCGTCGTCGTCACCGTCGTCACCGTCGTCGTCGGTGTGGTCGGCGTCGCCGCACGGCCTCACAATGAATGCCAATCGTGAACGGTCAACACAGGCCTTTGGCATCCAATAGCTCTGGCAGCACGCTGAGGCGACATCGGCCGCGCCACCTCGTCCCGACTCGACCGATTGCGGAGAGGTGCGCGCGAAGGTGGGGGAAGGGGGAACATGCCACGACGCAAGGCCTCCAGGCTCCTCCCCATTTTGACCATCCCCCCCCGCCCCGTCCGCGCCTCCTGACTCGGGGGCGCGCAAACATTGAGTAGCGATCCATGGATTTGGCGCGCGGTCGCCACATCCGTGGATCGGGGGAGGCGCCCTCCCCAGAATGCCGCCGGCGCCGCCCTATTCTCGGCGGCAGAAGTCCGCGATCTCCCATGGAACCGGCACCGGTCGCTAATCCACGCCCCCTTAATCCGTGTCGGCGATCGCCTGCCTGACACTCGGCGCTCCCAGCGAGATGCCCCTTGCAGGCCGGCGCGCGCACGCTGCCGCCCGGCACTCGGGGAGGGGAGGGCGCCGGAGGGCCAGCCGCCGCGGCCTGCCCGGGGCGCAGAGGAAGCGCGCACCCGGCCGGCGGCAGGGCCCGAAGCTCGCCCCGCGGCTCCAGCTCACCCAGGCCGGGGCGATGGCGCTGAAGCCACAGTCCTGGGCAGGGACCGACCGTCCCGGCGTTCCGAAAGGCCTACCACGGCATGTTCTCAGAACCCCCAGAAGGTTCTCAGAACAGAGACATTGGTCTCAGCACAGAAGCCCGATATGTGTGAAACCAAGACAGTCCCAGCCAGAACTGTTCTAAGATTTCGTGGAGGCCACAAAAGGTTCCTAGAACATCGTTTGGTAGGCCTATAGGCACGCCAGGACGCTTCGCCACTGCTTGACAATCGGGGGTTGCTAAAAGAAACTCCCCCTGGCCCAGGGTGCTCCCAAACTGTTCGCAACAACTTGGAGCCCCCATGGGGCCCTCTGGGCCTCGCGAGGGTGCGCTGGAGGCAGTGGGGCCTCCTCGGAGATCCTGGGGGCACCTTGGGCCAGGGGCACTGCTAGCAACACCCGACACGAGCCTGCTGAGAGCCCTCGGACTTTGCAGAGCGTGCGCCTGACGGACGCGCGCGCCAGCAGGCCGGGCAGCGGCCAGAAACGCCGCGAGACTGGCCCGCGCGGCCTGCCGGGTGTCATGAAACGGCGGCCCACGGCTGCGACAAACAGGAGGAAAACAGCCGCACAAAAGCACATCGCGCGCACCGATCGCCCCTCGTCAGCGGGGGGGGGGGGACTTGGTAATCAGGGGGCCACATTCGAACCCTACCCCCCATACCCTCCACGATTTCTGAGGGGGAGGGTGGGGCTCACTCAGAACTCGTGGGGGGTGGGGGTAGGCGGAGTGAACCCCACCCTCCCACTCAGAAGTCGTGGGGGGGAGGGGGAGGCTTCGCACGTGGCCCCTCAGCTCGGGCCGCACGGGCAACGCGCCAGCAGCGCGACGCGGCGGCCCCCCAGCTCGGGCCGCACGGGCAACGCGCCAGCAGCGCGACGCGGCGCGCTGGCCCCCCGGCGCTGGGCACGGCGGGCGGGCGAGGCTGCTGGCCCGCCGCTCGTCCTTCGCAGGCCAGCACCGACGGCGGCGGGCGTGCTCGCCTGGGCCCCAGCCGGGCACCTCGGCGCCGACCGCGGAGCCGAGCGGCAAGCCCGCAAAACAGAGCCAGCTCGAGCGCCATGCGCTGCCCCTCCGCCTCGGCTCGCCGCGAGGATCTCGCCCAGATGCCCCAGGTGCTCAATCCCAGAGATCCGACGTCGTGATTTTTTCAATACGGGGCCCCCGGAGGTCTCGACCCGTTCCCCGGGACCGGTTTTTCATCCTGAGTCGTTTTTTGACGGTCCCGGGGCCCGGCGAGGGCCCCTTGAGGCCGAAAATTGTGAAAAACCTCCGTCTTGATTTTTTCAATACGTTGGATCTCTGGGATGTTCCCCCCCGCTGGCGGGCGGAGGGCGCACAGGCCGCGCCCGCGGCGGGCCCTCCGCGGGGGCCGGCCTCGTCGCCGCGAGGCCGGAGCCGGGGCACGCGCCGAGGCCGGCGCCGTCCAAGCAGCGCGGGTGCCTCCGAGAACGCCTTCCCCCCGCCCCGATGCCTTCCCCCCGCCGCGCGCGGCCGCTGCGAGGCGACGGCCCCCGTGGAGGCCACGGCGACACGGCGCCCGCGCTGGGCCCGCCGCCTCTCGGGGGGCCCCGCAAACAGGGCTGGCCTCCTCCTCCTCCTCCTCCTCCTCCTCCTCCTCCTCCTCCTCCTCCTCCTCCTCTTCATCCTCCCTCCTCCTCCCTCCTCCTCCCTCCTCACTTTCCCCTCCACATCATTCGCCGACCTCTGGTGCGCGGACTACGCGGGCGCAAGGCGACCAAATCCCAGCACGCAAGCAGCCGCTGCCATCGCACCGCGCCCAGCGATCGGGGCACCCCGCTGAGCCCGCACCAGAGGCCACTCCGGCGAGGGGTCACTCTTGCGTGCAGCCGAGGCCGCGCAACTCGCACCCGGCCGGCCACCACGGGCCCCGGCACGGGTCGGCGTCCTCAGCGGGCAGCTGCCCGGGGCCATTCCGCCCGGGGACCGGGGACGAAGGACGATCCCGCCGGCTTCGACGCCCCGCGGCGACAGCGAAGCGGTCCGTGCGGCCGCCAGCGGGGGCGCCGCTGAACCCGGCTGCGCCAGGCTCGTGCGGCGTCGGCGCGCGCAAGGTTTCTGACACCGCGTCGATCGTTCAACCCTGAAGCGACCGCGGCCCCGATCGTTCCATGTTGAACTCCGTCGGGTCCAGTGGCGTTCCCGTGTCGCTCGGTGCTTCCAGTCGCAGAATTCAGCCTTGAACGCCTTCGCCAGCGTCGCTGGCGCGCCATCGCCACAAGAAGCCTACCGTACGCGTCAGGTCCTCCTGGCGAGACCACACGGTCGTTTCCCTATGACAGCAAGCTCCTGCTCCTGAGCAGCCTCACCCACGCCAGATTCCAGTTGCCAGGCAGCGCACTCGAAGTCCGCCTGTTCTCGGTGCGGGCCGCGGGCCGCGCGACCCCATCTCGGGGGGGGGGGGGGGGACCTTCCTGCCTCCCGCCCCACTCCTCCGCGCGCCGCCACGCGCCCGCCGCGCGCGGCCCGCCCGATCGAGAAGTCGAGCGACGGAGGCCACGGCGCCGCCCGCGACGACCCAGGAGGTGCCGCCACCACCCCCGGAGATGGGGTCCAACGCCCCTGCAGGACGAAGAGCTGCGTGGGCCGACGGCCCACCCCCCACGCCCCCGGACACGGACACCCGGACCCAGGGCCCGTCCCGCGGGCCCGCGGCGCGTTGGGGCGGGGGGAGGCGGGGGCCCCCTCCGCAGAAAGGGGGCCCTGAGCCCAAATGGGGCACGGAGTGGTGCAGCGAGGGAGTAGGATAGCCAGAGGCGGGAGGCAGCGAGGGCTGGCAGAAACAAGGGTTGGCGGAGAGAGAGAGAGAGAGAGAGAAAGAGAGGCAAAGGGAAAGGCAGAAGAGGAGGACGAGAAGGAGGAGGATCAGGGAGGGAGGAGGAGGAGGATGAGGAGGAGGAGGAGGAGGAGGAGGAGGGAGGAGAAGTTGCGAATGTGCTCGTCACAGTGGTTGCGAAAGTGGAACGCCACCAGCCGCATCAGCAGCCGGCCAACAAGCAACAAGCAGGCCAACCAGCAGGCCACGAGCAGAGTCGCGTGGACCGGCGAACCCCCTCTAGGCCCGCCGCCCCGCGTCCCACCTGCACCTGAAGGCCTCGCCCTCCTCCTCCGCCTCCTCCTCCTCCTCCTCCCGCCTCCCCCTCCTCCTCCTCCTCCTCCTCCTCCTCCTCCGCCTCCGCCTCCGCCTCCTCCTCCTCCCCCTCCTCCTCCGCCTCCTCCTGGAGCCCGCGCAGGCCCGCCGCCCCGCGTCCCGCCTGGACCGGAAGGCCTCGCCCTCGAAGGTGAGGGGGAGCGACGCGTTGGGACTCCTTTCCTTCGGGGGGCGCGTGGAGCGTGCAAACACAAACACAAGCACACACACAGCACACACACACACACACACGCACACACACACACAACACACACAAGCACGCACTCACTCACTCACTCTCGCACACACACACGCACGCACACACACACAAGCACGCACACACATACACACAAGCACACACACAAACAAACACAAACACAAAAACATGTGTGGCGTCGCGGCCTCGCGCGCGGCGACGAGGCGGAAGGCGGAGAAAGACACACACACACACACACGCGAACACACACACACACACATACACACACGTGTCACACACAACACACACGTACAGACAAGCACACACACAAACACGCACACACCCACAAACACAAACAAACACACGAACACACACACACACACGAAACACCTACACACAAACAAAAACACGCGCACATACACATATACACACAAACAAACAAACAAACAAACAAACAAACAAACAAACAAACAAACAAACAAATAAACAAACGAACAAGCAAACAAACAAACAAACAAACAAACAAACAAACACACACACACCAACAAACGAACAGACAAACAAACAAGCAAGCAAACAAACAAACACGCACACAAAAACAAACACAAACACACAAACACACAAACACAAACAAACACAAACACAAACACGAGCACAAACACAAACAAACACACAAACACAAACACACAAACAAACAGACAACCAAACACCTACACACACACGAACACACACGAACACACAGACACACACACACACACACACACACACACACACACACTCCGCCACTCGGCCTCCACAGGTCCATCGCTCAGGCCAGCCCCTGGTGCGAGCATCGGTTCCCGGCCCAGCGGTTGGGCTGGGTCGGGGCAGCAGAAGCGGTTGAGGGAGACGCGGAGAAAGCATAGAAGGGGGCCGCAACCCCAGACGGCTCGATGTGCGAGAGTGCTCTCTGTCGCACGCTTCTCCTGCTCCTCCTCCTCCTCCTCCTCCTCCCCCTCCTCCTCCTCCTTCCCCTCCTCCTCCTGCAGGAGCCTCGGCATGCACAACGCCTTGCGGCTACGCACGGAGACCTGGCCCAGAGCGGGGCTGTGCACGCGTGGTGCAGCCAGCATTCACTTCCCCTCCCCGGATCTCCTTCATGTCCTCCGGGAGGAAGAGGACGTATCTGTATGGACCTGGCTCGCCAGGGAGCAGGTGGAGGTGGAGGATGCTGTACCCCGACGGGAAGGGCACAGCAAAGCCTGACAGAGCCACGAACCCCGACCCTGCAGCACGAGGGGGCACGGCTTGCAAGGAAGAGACAAAGGGCAAGGAGGGGGGATGCAAGCAGGGCGCCTGCCGTATCTCGGGCTGTCCCATTCCCTCGTCGGGCCTTATCCGGGCTCCCTTGGACGAGAGCGCTGGACGGCGAGAGGAGGGAGGAGGCGCGAGCGGGAGCGAAGACGAGCGTGCAGACAGAGGGCGGGGGAAAACGGGGCGGGGAGGAGCGAAGGGCACGGAGTGGCAAGGACGGCGGAGAAAGGAAGCAAGGGAGGAGGGAAGAGAGGCATACTCTGAGTTTCTCAATGAGCGTGGGGGGGTACCACCCCGACGGGGGTCAACTTCGCCTCGTCGTCGCGCCGCGACGGGGGTCGGAGCGCCTTCGGCGCGCGGTGGCTGCCCGCGACGGGGGTCGATGTGGGGCTGTCGGCGGGGGTGACGCCCCCCCCCACGCTCACTAAAACTCGGAGTAGCAAACCCTACAACATCGGAAAAGGAAGAAGCGTGGACAAGGGCAAAAAGGGAGGAGGGATGAAGCACAAAGGGAAGGAGGAGACGAAGAAGGAGCAGAGGATGGGAGAGAAGGAGAGCATAATATGGATTCCAGCGTTGTCTGCTCCTCCTTGGCGAAGGAGAACAGGGATACTGGAGAGAACCAGGAGGAACAAGGAGGTAGAAGTAAGAGGAGTGAGGAGTAAGTATGTGAGGCAGCGTGGACCCCAAAACAGCGTGTTCTTGCATACTACGTGGCGCAATCTATGTGTTAGACCCATTTGCTGTTCCCAACGGAGTTCCCTCGCGCCAGCGCGGAAGCATTTTCCGTGCGTCAAAAAATAAGCGGGTAAATAATCCCCTGGAGTAAGTAGTTACTACTGATTAATATCAATGGAACAATTGTTTCTTCCGCCGCGGCTGCGCCACAGCTGCGCTTTGTTGTCTTCGTGTAGGAGTCTACGGGGGAAGGGGGGCCATCGCAAGTCTTGCGACGCTCTCGCCTTCATTCGCCCCGCTTTCGATCTCACTCGATCGATCACACTATTGACCTCATAGTCGATCCCACTGTCGATCTCACTGTCGATCTCGCAATCGATCGCACTATCGCCCTCCCTATCGATTGCACTATTCATGCAACTAGCGATATCACTATCGATGTCACTGCCACTCGCGCGATCGATGCAACTACCGATCTCACTATCGACCTCACGATCGACCCAACTATCGATCTCGCGACCGATCTCGCCACATCTCGGTCGTTATCGATCTCAAGATCGTTATCAATATCGATCGGGACACCATCGGGACACCACGGCGGGACCCCCAGCCACCGTTTGCTCGTGTTTCCTAGGCGAGATCTAGATCTCACGCGTCAAACACGAGCAAATGGCCAGATCTCAAGCGAGATCTCGCCATTTGCCCGTGTTTCCTCAGCGAGATCTAGATCTCACGCGTCAAACACGAGCAAATGGCCAGATCTCAAGCCCCCAGAGGGCACCCGAGAAGGCGTTGGGGCCCACCAGAGGGCTGCACGTTTGCATCCGAATGGCCCCCGCGACGGCGGGAGCACTCCTCCCGTGCGCGCCCACCAGGGAGACGCCGCGGACACCCGTCGGGACGAGAGGCCCCACGAGATCCCAACGAACAGCCAATGGGCTTTGTACCCACATCCCAGGCACGGTGGCGGGATGGGCTGGAAACCAATAGTGGGACGCACATGGACATACTAGTACTATATGTCCTCCTTGGAGGCGCGCGTCCGACCCGAACATATAGTATACCCATCTTGTAGTATATCGTTTCCCGAGCGGTGTGGCCAGAAAGCGCCCGCCACGACGCATATACTACAAGATTTCTCGGTGCGCGCGTCGCCCCTGGGGGGGCGACAAACACATAGTATAAGTATGTTGGGGGGATGTACCCACATACCAGGCACGGTGGCGGGATGGGCTGGAAACCAATAGGTCCGCCGCCCCCTGTCGATTCATCGCAGGGGTGCCTGGCGTGCTTGACCCTTTCGGCTTCGGTTTTGGCTCTTTTTCCAAAAGAACTCCCCAGTGGGCTTCGGCCCGACCCGCCGGCCACCCGTGGATCGCCCAATTCCCGGAAAAATCACCCTAGACGGCTCAAGATGGCCTCAAAGATGGCCACGTTGGCCCAAGATGGCCTCCAAGATGGTCCAAGATGGCCTCCAAGTCCGCCAAAGATGATCTAAGACGGCCTCCAAGATGGCCCAAGAGGGTCCAAGGTAGCTCCAAGTTCGCCCAAGAAGCCTCCAAGACGGCCCAAGACGGCCCAAGAGGCTTCCAAGAGGTCCTCCAGGAGGGCCCGAAGAGGCCAAAATCATTGATTTTCCTTAGTTGTTTGAAGGATTTTGGAATTTGCTTCTTCTCGGCATTCCGACGGCTCAAGACGGCCCAAGAGGCCCCCAAGATCGCCCAAGAGATCCCCAAGAGGGCCCCATTACGGCTCAAATGGCCTCCAAGATGGCCCCAAGACGGCCCCAAGACGGCCCAAGAGGTCTCCAACACGCCCAAGATGGCCTCCAAGACGCCCAAGATGGCCTCCAAGACGGCCCCGAAGCGCCCCAAGAGGGTCCCCCGTTGGCCCAGAAAGGCCCCCAAGACGGCTCCCGACGGCGTCAGACGTGCCAGGAACCCACCAAGATGGCCGAAGTTGGCTCGAAGCTGGCCCAAGACGGCCCAAGAGGCCCCCAAGAGGGCCTCCAGGAAGGCCAGAAGAGGCCAAAACAACATTGATGTTCCTGAGGTTTTTGACGGATTTTGACATTTCCTTCTTCTCGGCCTTCCGACGGCCCGAGACGGCCAAAGAGCCCCCAGAGATCGCCGAAAGATCGCCCAAAAGGCCTCCAAGACGGCCAAGATGACCGTCAAGATGCCCACGTGTTCCCCGAAGGCTTTCCAAACCGATTCGGGGAACACATGGTCCGATGGTTTGGCAGGTCTGGCCTCAACGTTCGGCCACATAGGTGCTTCCAAAAAGGCAGGGGGCGGCGGTGATTCGCCGTAGGCGTCTTCGATCCGCCGCCCCCTGTCGATTCATCGCAGGGGTGCCTGGCATGCTGGATCCTTTCGGTTTTGGTTTTGGTTCGTTTTCCAAAAGAACTCCCCCTGGCGCTTCGGCCCGTCCCGCCGGGGTCCTGGGAGGATTGCCCAGGACCCCAACGTCCACAAAAAATCCCCTAAGACGGCTCAAGATGGCGTCCAAGATGGCCAAGATGGCCTCCAAGATGGTCCAAGATAGCCTCCAAGTCCGCCCAGGATGATCCAAGACGGCCTCCAAGACGGCCCCAGAGAGTCGAAGATACCTCCAAGGTAGCCCGAGAAGCTTCCAAGACGGCCCAAGACGACCCAAGAGGCCTCCAAGAGGTCCTCCAGGAGGGCCCGAAGAGGCCAAAATCTTTCGTTTCCCTAGGTTTTTGAAGGATTTGGGCATGTGCTTCTTCTCGGCATTCCGACGGCTCAAGACGGCCCAAGAGGCCCCCAAGATCGCCCCAAGATCGCCCACGAGGCCTCTAAGATGACCCCTATGATGGCCCAAGAGGCCCCCAAGACGGCCTCAGGAGGGCCACGAGATAGGCCAAGAGCCCTCCAAGACGCCCAAGATGGCCTCTAAGACGGCCCTGGAGCACCCCAAGAAGGCCCCAAGTCGGCCCAGAGAGGCCCCCCAACTTCCGACAGCGTCAGACGGGCCAGGAACCCACCAAGATGGCCGAAGCTGGCTCTAGGCTAGCCCAAGACGGCCCAAGAGGCCTCCAAGAGGGCCTCCAGGAAGGCCAGAAGAGGTCAAAAACATTGATTTTCCGTTGGTGTTCGAAGGATCTTGACATTTGCTTCTTTTCGGCCTTCCGACGGTCCGAGACGGCCCCAGAGCTGATCGCCCCAAGATTGGCCAAGAGGCCTCCAAGATGGCCCCAGAACGGCCCAAGAGGCCCCCAAGACGGCCCCAAGAGGCCCCCAAGACGACCTAAGAGGCCTTTAAGACGCCCAAGATGGCCTCCAAGACGGCCCAGGAGCATTCCAAAAGGGCCCCAAGTCGGCCCAGAGAGGCCCCCCAAACGGCTTCCGACGGCATCAGACGGGCCAGGAGCCCACCAAGACGGCCCAAGATGGCCCTAAGATTGCCCAAGACGGCCCAAGAGGCCTCAAAGAGGGCCTCCGGGAAGGCCCGAAAAGGCCAAAATGATTACTTTCCCATGAGTTTTTGAAGGATTGTGCCATTTGCTTTTTTCGGCCTTCCGACGGCCCCCAAAACTCGCCCAAGAGGTCTCCAGTATGGCCCCATGACTGCCCAACAGGCCCCCAAAACGGCCCCAGGAGGCCCCAAGACAGATGGCCTCCAAGACGGCCCTGGAGCACCCCAAGAAAGCCCCAAGTCGGCCCAACCTCCCCCACCGTGTTCCCCGAATGCTTTCCAAACCGATTCGGGGAACACATGGTCCGATAGCTTGGCAGGCCTCTGGCTACAACGTTCGGCCACATAGGCGCTTCCAAAAAGGCAGAGGGCGGCGGTGATTCGCCGTAGGCGTCTTCGATACTGGCCCCGACGAATCCAGGAAAGGATCCCCGAACTGGGAGATCATCCCCTCTAAGCCCCAAGCTTGGAGCAGCGACCCCCAAGCTCGAGGGCAGAAGGCGGTGGATGGGGACGAGGTGGACCAGAAAACTTTGAGCCAAGGGGGCTGCGTAGAAGGCACGCTGCTAAATATGCATCCGCTACTGACTGGGACTGCTGGCTACGGCATGCACGTGCTGTGCAACACAGTGGCAGCAAACAGGGGAACAAATCCTGCATTCTCACACTACCTACAGCTGCAATGGGTTCTTGGGAGGGCAATTTCTGCCCTCTCCCGGGAACATCGAACACAAAGCGTTTCCCGCGTCCAACGACCAACCGCTGG